ATATAACAAATACTAAAAAGAATAGCTTTTTAAAATCTCTCCGAGAATAGTTAGGAAGTCGTGAAAACTCTCACTGTGAAAGTTCTACACAATCGGCTCAAAATTGAATTAAAAAGCAAACAGTTTTTTTCATTTTCTACCATAGCGACGATTGGGTTTCTCCAGACAGTTGAGAGTTCCTGCACATATCGATATCTTCGTATTGCTAGCTTACTTTATTCCCAAAAAAAAGGTTTAAATTTTTCTTTGCAAGCCTAGATCAGTTTCATCTTGAAATAGCTGAATAACCGCAAAGTTACGGGTCAATAATAAGGCCTCGGTAGCTACATAGCACGGAAATCAAAAGATAATTAACATAGAAGAACAGAAGACATGCTATAGAAGTACAAAATGACTACAACGCTGTAAAAGAATATGTTATGTACTATATTATTATACAAATAAATTATTTTTTTAATTATTGAACAAGCAAAGAAAGTTATCGACGTAGTAATGAGGTAATGTGACCGACCTGCCAAAACAAGGTAGAAAGAACACAGCAAGGTATGTTAAAACAAAGCAGTAAGTATATTAAAAAAGCAATAGGTGTATTAAAAAACGTGACGGAAGAATTACAATAGAAAAGTTGCAATAAGACAAAAGTAAAGAAAAAAAAGATTAAGTTAAAAGGGATAACGGGGATTGTGCAACAAGGTGATCGAACAGTCGTAATTTGGTTGGGTCCAAAACTCTGTTCCACATAAAGGACGTAAACTAGTTTTTAAATTATATTCGAAAAAATAATAGTCCTCAACAACGTATTTGTGTACATATATCCGTCTGAGTTGATACTACTTGGGTGTGGGTTGATTTGGCCCAAAAAGAGAACGTTATGATGAAGAGCTAAAATCTTGTAAGATTAATTTTTTTATCTTTAACATTAGTATTGCATCATCATCTTATATTTAAAAGCTTAAAGAACCAAGCCAAGAATCACATATATAAAATACATACATGAAAGGGACGATTTAGGAAAAATTAAACTTATCAATTTTTGTTAGTCAGCACAAACATGATAATAAATCGAAAATAGACGCCTATGTTTCCCATTAGCTAAACTTTGTCATTATTATTCAGCCTTTTATAGGCTTGTTTGCCACTGCCACACATTGCCGCTTTTGACTGCAACTAAGTAGGTTGTTATTTAGGGTGATTACGCCGTCTATCCGATGGTATACGGATAACAAGTCTGCATATCGAGGTTCAGTGACATATTAAGTTAGACATACATAAGTTAGACACACTTTGTTCCTTGTAAAGAGGACCTGTCCCTTTGAAAAAAAAATGCGTGCGGAACAGTTCAAACAACACGTGGGCAAGCATATGCGTTCAACTGTCTGGGATTTGACGTTTCAGGTGTATTACTAGGGCTTTTGGATAATTGAGATAACGCATTGCAAGGGTCTAAGTGGGAGACTTGAAACTTGGGAAGTTTGAAACGTAATTTAATGAACAACGCCCTAATCAAACCCAGCCACAAGCGCGCAGAAGTTAAAAAGCGCTACTACGAACCGAATAGTCCACTACTTTCTGTACATTTGTGTAAAAACGGATTAGTGAGGACGCAGCATGTTAATAAGAAGATGTGAAACTGTGTGCAACAGGAACGGTCGTCCCCGGTCGATCTATATCGAGATAATAATTAAACTCCATTTCTCGAAACACCAATCTGTGATCATAGTTACCAAATCACATGAAATCGTCACAAGTTGTGAAAGCGACTAGAATTGGGCCTTAGTACACATAATACCTGATTGTACAGAAACAAGTTATTAAGATAGAAAATGAAAGCCAACGATCACATGGACAGACAATCTGACAGTTAAACATATATATATATATATATATTTATATATGTACGTTTAACTGTCAGGTGTCTAACAGATATAACTTATAAAGTTATATTGGTTGGTTTGTAGAACGTGATGCCGGGTAGTATACAGTTCATTCTAGCTGAGCGTAAGCCGACATCTTAGTTAATAACTTAGGACTAATTAATATTGTCTGTTTATGTTACAACTTGCGTTATAATAAAGATCGCTATTTTGATAAAAATGCTGGCACAAGACACCCGTAATGGACGAGCTTAGTTAATGTAGCAGCTACTTGCTTCGTTCATGGCTTCCATTTGTGGCCTTAACAACTCGTAAGTCATTTCCAAAAAAAAAGTCTTTTCCGAATTCGTCACTGACCCTGTAATAGTAACATTTACTTGTATGCTTGCTCAAGTCTCTTTTAAACAAGCCAAGCATGGAAAATTAAACGAATCTAAATTTTGGATTTAGCGCACGCTAAATGTTCTAAAAATCCAAAGGTCTACAATATAGAAAAAATTAAAGCAGGTATATTTAAAGTGAAGCTAATCAATGGGGATTATCTGAAGGACTGAATTGGCAATAGATACTTTGTTCTTAGAAAAATTAGTCTACTTCGACATTAAAATTCCGAGGGCTCAATAAATAGTTTTTCACGGCGTTTCAGTGAATTTTCAACCTTGTTTTATTCTTCATTTCAGTCAAATGCTTACCGTGGCCTATCATGAAAATAATGTTCCAATTCGTCTCGAAACCACATTAAAGCTGAGAACAGTATAAACAACCAATTGTTTATGCGTAGCAGATTTGAGTGAAACTTCTGATTAATTTGCCTATGATTTATATTAAAAAAAAAAATTTTTAAAGGGCGGAAATTTTAAACATGATATGTGAGTGGTTTAAAGCTCATATGAGATCTGTGATTAAAACGAGTGATAGTTATAATAAATGAACACTCCATCAGATATGTCTGTGACGGAAAATGCAAAAAAAAAGTAATCCAAAGATCTATCGTATATAAATGTATATATTGAGCTACAACCAAAACGCTATAAGGTGAAAAATGACATGGATAATGTCTGACAATAATAAATCGTTTAAATAATCTATTTATATCTAGCTATACTACAAAACAAAACCATCTTTATTTAGAATCTTTGTTTAGTTACTTTTGTAAATTTTTAGTAATGATATTATTAAATAAAGAATATTTCTTTAAGTAAGAGTGACTTCGCAGTTTTACGGTTTTAAGGGTAATTCTTCCGTATATTTTGCGGATTAAACAGGTTATTATCAACATTGGGTAACATGGTGGTAATATATCTACTTGGCCAGCCGATGCGTGTAAATAGGTGCCTTCAAGATTTATGGTGCATCTAAAGGCATTACATTCCATTAATACTGGTTTGTTTACTACTGTTAGGGTACACTTTTATCTTAGAAAAGAACTACAAAAACAAGAGTGTACTCTTTTTTGGAACAATCAGATTCAAGTAAAGTTTAACTAAAAATTTTAAAGTAAAAAAGTTAAACTAAAAATTACCAAAAAGAGAATGAAAGATATATTATATACTCTGTTGTCTAAATTTAATTTGAATAATAACAAAGAAACTTTTATATAAAATAGAAAGGAGGAACGATCGCTTTCCCGCTATCATCAATACGAAAGCCATTTCTGCTATTTCTAACAGTTATGATTTTTTTGGTTTTTGAGTCGTTTAATTGCGCGAAGAAAAAAATCGCATACGAGAAATTAGAGTGAAATTTTTTGTTTGCGAAAATGAGTTCAAACATAGTTTGGCTGCAATATCATCGTTGGAACTGGATTGTATACTAGGTTTAGACCTGGTCACACATTGTTCAAAGGATCTAAACCTTCTAGAGCTAAACATTTTAGTGATTACAATCGGCGAATTTAAAATGAGTCGTAAATAAATCGGTTAGTTCCAGGTTCATTCTGATAACTTCTTAGGTACCTAAGAAGGTAATCGGGGCCAACAAGAACGACAGACTCGATCGACTGCGTCTGATCGAGGGACTGGTGATCACTGAGGACGGTCGCATATGGAAAGAAGGGATTAGGCGTACAAGATTCGTGAAGCGGAAGATATGAAAAAAGCTAAATGTTGAAAAAGTTGAAACATCTTAGTAGAGAACTCGTAGATGATATGTACCTAAATCTCGCATAATTTTTAGTCATACTTTTGTACAGAAGTCCTCGTCCGTTGCTATCAACTGGCTGAATGTACATTCTAACTCGAATAAGATCGAGCGAAGCGATAATTGGAGACACGAGTACGCCTGAGGCTAGCGCAGCCATTATTGTGTTGAATACCAGAAATCTGCATGGAAGCAAAACAGTATAATGTATTTGTTATTTAATGGTTAACTTTTCGAGCTCATTAGCAATTCAGATTCAACAATAAGATCTACTTGTAAGGGACACATGATAAGTTTCTAGTGTAAAACCACTCTTATCAGCAATATGGTTATGACCAAAGCCTTCGTCTAATCTTAACGGAAGAAGAATAAAAGCTAGTTCTTCTAATACAACCGCACGCTGCCGTAAATTGTCAAAAACATTTTTTTTCTAATTAATCGTTTTTCACAATGTAATATGGTGTCAAAGTTACTTGCAATCGAAAAATGAAGCATAAGTATATTTGATACCTTTCATTGTAATCAACGGAGAGATTGAGCACATTCTTAATTCCAACGAAAGAAGAGAGTTGAACTGATGACCCCACTCCAACGCGAAGAACATTTGATCCAGTAGCTCTCCAGAGACCTGTGCTTAGACGGTAACTTCGATAGATGTCATAGAATGCATGTAGCATGCTCTGCAACAAACCATCATTTTTTCTTTTTTCAACAAACGTTCTTTTTCTAATTATTTAATTAATCTATTTGTTAATAAGCCTAACTTACTTAAATTTTTCCTTGCTGTAGTTTATAACGCAGTACTACACAACTGTAATCTATATACATATGTTACCACGACAAAGCTTGTTTTGTATCGAAAAAGCTCTAAAAATACCGTATACTGTCGCTGATGAGCAACGCGAATCTGGCTGCCACTTCGAATCATCTGGTAATTCTTCACCATAAAAAATGGCGATGCGATAAAGGCGCTGATTGCTCCACAAAAGGCTCCCGATATTGCACTCTTTATTATTGAATGTTCCAAATTTGAGTCCATGGTCAGACCTAAATCCTCGATCGACTGTTAACGAGAAAGAAAAGGTCCTAAATATACGTCGTTATGGTGAAAACGCGAGACGAGTATAGTGCAGAAAATAAAAAATACAATCATAGATTTAAACTGAAAGCTTGCACAGAGCAAACTGCCTACTATCCCTTAAAAGTTTTGTTATTTCACAGTCTGACGCAGTTTCGCTCTTTTTATGAGGACCGCTAATGTTTATCAAAATATAAGAGTTTAAAAATATAATGCACACCCCACAAACAAGCCAAACCTAAACGTATCCATTTAATTTGTATACAGCCTGTTTCACAGCTGAACACGTACCTGGAATAATCCCAGTCGAAATCCTTGCGATATAATTTGGTAGAATGTAGCCGGTATAATTCCGCGGTATATACGAAGTAAACCATCATGCTTCATTATCTAGAAGACAACAATGCGCCGATTTACGCGTCAATTATATGCATCCTTTTTAAGAAATATTTATAAATAAACGTTTCATTTATTAGAAGCAAACTACGAAAAGAAGCTTTAACAGATGACTCGTATAGCGTTGACTAACATTGACACGACGTATCAATATTCCCACCACGTCTAGCCAAAGCTTACTGTGTCCATACAAACTTTGCTTTTTCAATTGTGTTTTGACGGCGACGTAAAAAAAATTGCAAAGTGGTACGTTTAGTGTTAGACTAAGGGATAAAGTTATTCCGACTTTCTCCGCATTGCATCGAAAGAAACTTATAGCTGAGCCTTTAGTATAAGCCTAAACAAATTTGGTCATCACGTCGATTTGAATAGCCGCTGAAGTTCTACATACAACAATAATCATCTCTTACCGTATTGGGCTCAATAGCAGATTTGACTTCTTAAATGTACACCTTGTTTAAGCTAAACTCAGACTATGAAACGCGGCGACTTTTATTTCGGGTACTGTCGTATAGCGCTGCTTCAAACAAAGACAGGTCTGCGTGGCTGTAATCAGTTCCGTTTCCTTCGCCACGTAGCACTCAAATCATTATATTTGTTGTCAGTAATCTCTTCACCCCCATTGCAGTTATAGGGTTCCTTCAGAGAGAAAATAACATGGAGCAAGAAAAAAATATAGACGAAAACAAGAATCCGCTGCTCATTTGGCTACATCTATGTTATTGTCGTATTTGACCCTCTATTGCAAAGTACCAGCGTTGACGTTGTCTGCTTGCATATCTTCCGTGCAAACAATTCTTGCCCAATTATATTTGTCTCACTAGCTTGTTATAGAAATTCCGAGCCAACACATAATAATAAACGAACTCCAGGACATTGCCGTAATTACCCGCTAGCCATTAAGATAAATCCTTTTCTTCCAGCTTCTACATTGACGTACTTGTTCACGCTGGCAACTGTCTACAGTTTTTGAGAAGATTATTAAAAAAAGTCGCCTTATCAACGAATTAGTTAGGATCTTAAGCAGTATTTTGAGAAGAGATAATCGAAAAGTTTTAATACTCCACTTTGATGTCGTATCGCAAAAATAGTGCGTGTAGTAATTGTTCATTGGTATAAGATGTAGTAATTAACTACATCTTATACCGATGAAAATCAGATGCATTAAACTTGATTCATATTGAATTTACTGTTAACTAAATCTAATTTTTATGCATTTTCAGTGGCAGAGCTCCGAATTTAATTTTCACTACATAGAATACATGTTCAGTTTTTATTTATTATTACAAACTATTTAAAAAAACGAACCAGTTAATCTAACTGAAATGTCTATTTGGCACGTTAGGCTTTTTTAGAAATCTCATCATAGCTTAGTGGGTAACGTATTTGCTTTTGGCACACGTTGTGACACTCCGATTTGTGTTGTTCCATCGAATGGCTGACGGCGATAACAACTCGAAACATAGAGTATTTTCACAGGGTCATCGGTATGGGCTCACCAAACGCCTTTACCGAGGCAAAGTTTATGTTTGGGAAAAGGGTTGAGCTTTATTGCGATTAGAACAGCTGATTAACAGTTGTATCTGCGTTTAGACAACATCTGTGACTCGCTTGCCCTAAGCAATGCCCTTTGAACTACACAAAATTATATATCCACGTTTTCTAAGATTTGATTGTGAATATCTGAGTATTCTGCTAATAAATTTAGACCAACCGTGAGTAATATCTCTTTTGAATTTTGGTCAGCGTGTAACAGCTTATAATTTTTGGTAATTTGATGAGTAATAAAGTAAAGCAAAATAGATGAGAAAATAATTCTAAACGCCACTGTTACTCAGAAACCAATTGTGTAAAGCAAAAAATAGAAAATTACAATAAAATAACTTTTTACGTTACACAGCTTGGCTAAGCATTTTCTATGGGTGTAGAGAGTAACTTAGACGATATTGACAGCTTCAGCGATGCGTTCCAACAACTATAACAAATTTCCACTGTCAAATACATTCTAAATAAATTGTGAACGTCAACTAAATTTTTATAATATTATTGATCCTGGAACGTCGGCGTTCTGATGTTTCCAGGATCACACATGGTCACCATAGTGCAAAAACTCTATTTCATCAACCGTAAAGCCGTGCTCTTTGCCTCCCGATGGCAACAGATAAACCGTCACTAACTGTAAATATAATATAATATTTTGAGCGACACTAAATACTATTCGTACCTCAATACCAATAAGAAACATATATAAACCACTCCTTTTATCTATTCCCAATACTCTGTTTTGCTGCTCCCTAAGGTAATTGAACATACATACGCCATCTCTAACCATTCTTTTATCGCCACCACCGTTTGTTCTACTACTAATACGATGTTACCTACATACCCAAGCTACCATGGTGTCTGTGGCCATCTTACTTATTGAATTCCTAAATAAATCAATATTTTTTTTCCTTAAATGTATGTGTAAGCTAATTATTGTGTCCTTACCATTAGGCCTAGGAAGGTGTGTAGAGAAACAGCTGAACTTTGTGTATTTTGCATTTTCGAACTTTTGAAGTGGAGCAAGCCATTCTATATTTGTTTGTTATTTGCATAGATCCGACATATGATTATTTATAACGTCAAGCTTTGAAAAACATAGCTAAAGCGTGTGTTTGTGCTCAATAAATTAACGTGATCCATCATAATCACTATAACGCCAGCTCGTTATTCAAATGTTTTCAGTCCTCTATTCATGTTCTATTGTAAACTAGCATAGAACAGTACATGAAGTACCAACAGTAGAATTCTGTATAACAGCAGTTTTACATAACAAGATAAACGTATTTAAAATCTGAGTAGTTATATTCTCTATGATGTTGTCGCTTTGCTGACGCTAGGAGCCACCTTTTACGTATCGTCCTAATATATCGAAATTTCTCTTTTTTTTTTTTTTTTTTAAGATTTAATAAAATCAATTTAACCGCATCTTTCAATTTAACACAGGCACTACTTCTTCTCCATAATAATTGTGGCCGACGTCGCCTTTTATAGTAACACTGATGTCACCCTGATATGCTGCTGTCAGCCTTCAAGCTTGCTAAAAACGTTTCGAGTTTTACATCCCGTACTACCTTCAGGCATTGTTTCAGACAGTTAGCCCCCTCTCAGTACGAAACAAAGAACTCTTTAAGTGCTAAGTAGGTAAACACTGCGCTGCCTTTGCGATGATGCAACAATAATCTACTAACCAGCAAGACACAGATGTTGCCTAGGTTCAATTTTGGACGCAGATACACTTTGATACTTTAGTAAAGCTTCTAGCAATATAAAAGGTAATGATTAAATAATTCCTCCTTTTTTTCGGTCGCTCCAGATTGCTTTATTTGAACGTCATACTCTGACAGGTCTATAGCGTAGCGGCACCGAGGCGCGTTGTAAAAAGAACAGTAGCGAAACAACAACGGATAATTCAAACCTCCTATCACCCTAACTTGACTTCAACCGATCACTGGAGGTCTTTGTTGCGTCTCGACAAACCTATTCTAGACGATAATCTAATTAAGGCCATCCACTAGCCTATCAGGCACCATTTCTCCTTCTTTTATTCCTTCGAAAACCTCGTACGCAGCCACCAATGATTTGCTGCGTGCAAATATGCTCGAATTATTTTTTAATTCGAATAAGCTGAAAGTGGAACAATTTCTCCTCGCTTTCCTTTTTTTGTTTCACAATTCGACACATTCTTAACGCTACCCACCTAACGGCATCGGCCTCTCCAGTTTCAGTCGTATTTGCAGCCGTAGTTACCTGATAAATTGCGTGGGGCACATTTCTGTAGTGAACCTTGTATTCACCATGTCGCATTAACTCGCCCTGCATTTGAATACGTATCTGAAAATAAAAAGCATATTCCAAAGCTTTTTAAACTTCGAGCCGCATGTTATCCTACAAATTAAAACACATCATAAAACGAATCAAGCTCGTTATACTCACCTGTATCTAGGGGCCTCGTAAGTATGAAATTACCAAACAGTTGCTTTAAGGATTATTAGATTCCTAACAGCGAAATTATATATAGTCAACATAATATCCGCAGCTTGATGCCAACCGTACAGCTGGTTCCGAGACGGACCAAAGGCTTTTCGAGACAACCCTTATTAGGAGCGAACTGCTACAGTTAGTACGACAACAATGTCCATAGGAAACGGGACCCCGAGCCATTCTCAAAAAGAACTATATGTGTTGATATCGGTTCTTCATTCCGATAATGCGACTACTAAGAAATATTGCTGTTGGCGTCTTGTTCCTTTTCAGGAAAACACGATAGTCCTCAACATTCAACTGAGCTCCTGTGATCCTTTTATTCTCCCAAAGAACTGGAGCTTACTCCTGTTATTACGTCCGAAAACAGCCATAAAAACGGTGACATACGTACATTATGTCCGATAGGTGTTGCTTCAAAAAGCCTTAGGTCTGACTCGAATGACTCACGACCGGTAAGCCAAGAGAGCGTTGTTTAATAGATCATGTTGTGAATAGTCAGTTTTTAGATTGATAGCAACATCATTTTGTACCTGTTGTGTGTAAGTTTGAGTCGACACTTACCCAACCTAATTCAGTTTTTATAGTATTACAAAGTGTGCTCTCAAACTCTACTTAGACAATTGAATCGCATTTATATTTTTCAAGCTGATCAAGATGATCAGTTCCAAGGCTAAAGTTAACGACACCTAATTCGAAGAACATATCCTCTAGATGTGATCCAAGTATATTGTTTAACGTCCTCTGCTCCTAAGAATTTTATGCATATAATTTGAATATAACAAAGAGCTAAATTAATCGTCCATTACTTAATAAAGCAGTAGATGCTGTATTATGAAATGAGATTGCTTATTTAATACGTATAACTACTCGATAGGGCAGTGATTCCTTGAAGGTTAGTAAGTTTGCAGTTGTTTAGCTTTCGCTCATGGTTCAGGTTTTTTTATTAACAACGAACTACGATTGTGTGCAACAAACGTATCAAAAGGAACAAGTTCAACTTACTAAAGTGGTTGAATATTTTTTTATCTGGAAGAAAAAAGTATCTTCATCATTAGAATATGTGGCCTAGACTGTAACTTTGCCTTTTCCCTAACTGTACGGCTATTTTTTTTGCAGAACCAGAGGTGTCATTGAACAAGCCAAGAACATCCAAGTCACTTAGCTGCTATTTATGTACCATTTTAGGCTTTTTTTTTCTTTAGAAGCGATTTGCTTTTTTTAAAAATCTTCTTGGGTCCTTTCGGTACCTATATCATTACGATTGCTTGCACTGCTGTGGTCTTTAGATGCTGTGAATAGCTTATTTACTTGAAGACTCAAGTCACTATTTAGTGATATTGATAATATATTGTTGCTATTTATGGATGTATATCAAACATGTATCTCGCTACCTTCAGTACTCTTTAATATCACTCTCTGCGACTTCTTAAGTGTTAAGATTACGAAATACATTAACGATCTGAATAATTTTAATGTTTCGCTATCCTAGGTTACTCTTAGGTGGTGCGAATTAAAATAGTTTAGCTTTATGCAGATATCTCCATGGTAGTAGTCATCACAAGAAATCCTTGCATAATTTAACTTCATGGCTAGAAAAGTTAGCGATACATTTTCAAGATTATTTCACATTTGTTAACATGTGTCACATTTTTCATTTACCACTATTTTTTTTTTATTACTAAATCATTAAAGTAGTATTCTGTTCTATTGACAATTACCTAAGAAGCGATTCCGATACAATCACTTATTTCAGTTAGTATCTGTCATATCACTTTAACGCAAATGTTAATGTTAAGCAATATATTAAGCTGTTATAAACGAATCGGGTGGACTCTGAAACTGAATAACTGAGCAAGTCATATTTGCCTGGCAAATACTCATTCTTTAGAAACTTATTTAAGTTCATAAACTAGTTGAGTCCACTCCAAGCAAAATAAAAATATTTTTCAGTATCGCAAATTAGCGTTCGACGGTGAATCGTGCAAACGTTTCAAGAACAGAGTCTGAAGTGTTGAGGAATAGCGTGGAGGTAGCTTGGAAGTCGGAACCCAAAGGACAAGAACGTATGGACACAGCCGAAGAGACTGTTTACGAAAACAAAGCTTGGAAAACAAAGCTCAAGTCTTTCTTTGCTAAAATTGGCATTTCATATGTAAACTATCATAGAATTAAGACACAAATATATAAAATCCGGGATTTGAGTAAAAAATGGGTTTCCTGTGAATAGACTTCAGGCCAATTAGAAATTTCTGTTGTTGTATTTCACATGCAGTATGTGGAACTTTATTCAACAACAATTCTTTTGGAGCGTCTAGGTGCCATAACACGGGTATTGTTGAATTTCAATGGCCAGCCAGAAAGAAAGTAGGCAAAAGGATATCGTCGCCTTGTTGAAAGACGGAGTTTCGCGGCAGTGTTGAGTAGGTTTAGACGCAAAGTGATTGTAATACTTGCAAAAGGACATCAGGAGCATTTGCTATTACGAAATATTTGCCGAAAACGAAGAAATGTATGCAGCCCGCTATTTCGAATTCCTCAAGAGGTCCCCTAGAATAGTTGGCACGGGAATCGACACACCCTAAAGATTGAGCAAGGGAATATCCAACACTGGCTTCAACCAGCTTATTCTCCCGACTAAAGTTCGTGTGCCTATGGAGCATTCTATGCTCTGAAAAGCGCGACTAGTGAACGAGCATAATTGATTTATTTCGAGGAACTGTAAATAAAGAAATCAGATGCGGGAACGCAAATGGTAGATATATAGCTTTCCCGAAGCTCTCAGAGCGCTGAGATAAGTGTATGGCAAGAGTAAAGATGAGCATCTGTAACACATAGTAAGAAATAATCATTCTAATTCAACTAGTTCAAAGGTTATTAAATTTCGAAATCGTTCTAACTTGCTTGTAATTGCCTAATATTGAGATCGTACTACTGTGGTGTTGTGATGTATAAAACGAAGTGCAGTGATGACACATTAGAAAACAGGTGTACCAATGGAAAACACATTAAGTATAGTACCTTTGTGGGTTATATAGAAGATGTAGCTGAAAAAGGGTTTTTTACTTAAAGCAGCGAGTCAGTGTGGGTATTCTATTGCTAAATACTACGGTTGGCGCAGCCGACGCCAGATGTGAAGCTAAAAAGTAGTGACGATTGTAATGAGCAACCTGAAAAACATAATAAAACCATAACCGTTTCCCTTTCCTAAAAAACGAGTGGTGCGGAAGAACACCAGAGCATTTTTGACGACAGTTAGAAGTGTGTGCTGTTGCGAAACTACCTTAATACGGACAGTCAGTTTCAATATCTGGCGATTCAAGAGGCCGCGTCGATCTTGCTACTAACTTCTCTAAATTTAGAGTTTTACGTCCGATTTCGCCGTCAGGTATTTCATCAGAAGGCTAGCTCCCCGCACAAAACAAAATGTGTCTATGCCCGGACTCGAATCCAGACTATAACGTTGAAGCAACTAACAGGTATTAACAGATTACCTAGTATGATATGATAATAGCGCGACTGAAAGCCAGATTCGCTAACAATAAAGCGTTTATTGCCGCAAGAAGCAAATTCCATAGAAAAAAAAAATAGTAAACCAGAGAGAGTCTTGATGAATATGTGACAGGACTACACAGAGTGCAACCGAGATGTGCGTTTGATAAACACGGATCAGATGAACTCGCCAATAGGAGGATAATGTTCCGTTAGAAAAGAACTGTAAGAATAAAGCAAAGGATAGGGCAGATGGTTCAAGAATCGGGACGAATGGAAAACGATACGGCAATAATAGACAGATTCAGTAAAGATGGAAAAGCAATTCAGAACAGATCAAACGCAACGTTGTAGATTATCCTCTCACGCTACAAGAGGGGGCAAGGATATACCTGGCGAATAATGTATCTTGTTTTAAAAGCGAATATAGAAGTTATTTTGTTAATTGTTGTCCAGGGGGCGGACCCAAAAAGAACTTAAGAAGCTATGCTGATAGTGGGAAAGGAAAATCCCCATAAAGATATGAAAAGTCGTCGTTAACATGCACTGGGTTCAGATGGAAAAACTGGAATGCCGAGTAAAACCATCGAACATTTAAGAATATCATCTGTTTTGATTTGTACATGTAGTGTGTGTAGTAAGGGTGAACAAAAGAGGATGAAGATTATATTGAGTCGACTAAAAAGGGTCTTTGTTTATTTTGGATATTGTTTTTGTGTTTGCTAATTCCTAAGGGGAACGTGACGAGCTATTACGACCATTCTTAGAAAGGATTAAACAGTGAAGAATAACCCTGATTTCTAATCGTAAACTAGAAATGTCGGAAAACAACGTTTTTAACATAATTGCAGGTATGAAAACAAGAATATCTTAAACGTAAAAAGTACAAAAGCAAAAAGCGTTTACCTTATACACGCGTAATGCATTTCTGAACCGTCTTAATATACCAAACACATTCCAAATCACAAAATCATCCACACAGGCATGAAAAAGTTTTATCTGCCACTTTTTATGTTCATGTATATATAGGATGCATCTATAGGAACACAGCTGTTTTAAAACAGTTCAAGTCATTTAAAACGGTTTTCATCACTTACGCTTAACATCAGTTGTCTCAAATGCACTCCCGCTATCCAAGTAGTTTAAATTTTAGAACTGGACGTACTCTATTTTATTTGATAACTTCGGTTGAGCAAGCAAAATGCCTGAGCTGACTGTATCTTTTGCGAAGAGAAGAGGAAGTGTCAAAAACCAAAGCAGTTGTGGGAATGCTGACACTTCAAAGAACGAATGAACTATACATTTGTATAGGAATGACAAAGTACTATTGAATTTTTTTTCATGAGATGCTTATTCTTCATGATGCTCTTGACTTGATTCCTCATCCCAGATACAAAATTCCGTTAGCGGACGGTGAACCGGCGCTTCCATCACTTTTTTCCTACACACAGTATTACCATTCTCAACTTAATTGAAAGTCACCTTCCTTGTACTTAATATGGGTGAATATTAATAAACTCACGCTAGTCCAGCAGTCTTTGTATTGGCCTAACCAACAGTAGTTCTGCGTTGCGAGCATTATATGACACGGCACATAAATGAATGCATTACGTATTCACGGAACAGTTTCCATAAAGATGCATCGTTTAGCCTCTACTGAGGCTACTGTTTATGTTTTTACCGTTTCTACATTAATGGGTGCGTTTTATGAAGTATTGTAGGAGTTCGTGATGTTACCAGATTGTGGTAGCCTACAAGACACTACGGTTGGTCTTAGAAGATTGTAGGAAAATCCAATTTTGATTTCGTTTAGTGACGCGTACGTTTTCTGAGATAAAATTACCAAGTCTTAAAAATGCATCATTTTAGTAATTATCGCAGTATCGCAGAGATGAATCTATAACTCTGGACTTCTATTTATTAGGTATCTCAAAGTTATACTAACGTAAGCGATAATAATCTGATTATTTGGTTTATAAGCAGATCGAAATCAAACCCCATGTGACTAAACTTCTAGATCACTACTTAGCTAATCAATTTTTACTGAAATAATTGTACCATATATATAAAGTGTATCAATTGGCGAAAGCATAAAGCACATACATTCCCGAAAATGCACGTGAACTAAAAAGCACACGTACACACGACTGCACCGGTCGGCAGTCAACTGACAGCACTACTACTACCAGCAAAGATGGATAAATGAGAATTTCATTTAATATTAAAACAAATCGCTATTCTACATTATTAATAATTCTAATAGTTAAATATTAGTCCACAAGCGGCGGCATTTGACTGCAACGATTCAAAAGTTGCAATTCATTTTCGGTAGACAAATGCTCCAAGTCCATTAACTATAAAGAGAGAAACTGAAAGACTTGATGATTTGGTAAATTATTAACATTAAACCGTAGATGCGTGTTTGTTCGAACCGTTCGTCAGACTCAAACTTCGGCTTCGACAACACTTAATTGGCAGCATGCTAATCAATACCACAATTATGAAATTATATTTTCCGCTCTTATTGGCACACCATATATTACAGCCTCATCTCTTTTCGGGCGTTGAAACGAATGACGGCTATTGAGTGACAACAATGTTTATTTTATCGGTTTTCACAAGCGTCTGCCCTCGGCTTTCAATGGTATTACAAGCCCGGAGGAAGTGTTCCCCTGACACCTAAAGTACCAAATCCACCCTTAATTTCAGCTTGCGCTTTTACATACGTTTAGCCCCAATTGGAAAGATCAAGTGGCTAAACTACTAACTAAACGTTTAACCGCATAAGTAAATGTGAAAAGTTGGCAAAGTATCCTAAACACTCTTTTTAATGACAATATCGTGTCTGCTAAAAGACCACCAAAATGAGGTAGTTTTTAGAGGTAGTCTTATCTTACTAAAGTTGTGAGAATAAAAAAAAAAGCTATTTTTTTTATAATCAAGTGTCTGGGATGATAATAATGTTATACAACGCCAGCAATTACTCCAAACTCCCGTGTGAAAAAGACGACAAGAGCTAGATGACTGAATGAGCCTGGTTCGTTATAAGTCAAAGCGGCAGTTCTCCATGCGTAATCCTGTCCGTTACCGCGCAGATCGACTAACAACAGATAAACATCCGATCCCGATATCCTTTATGACACGAATATTTGATACTGCATTACAGTTTCGATTGTTTCAATTTTAGCCCCATTTATATTAAGCGATATTTTGGATGGCAGCATAAAGTTACCCCACTGGTTTATAGCTTTACAGAAACTAAAAAACTTACTAATACTAATAGTACTATTTACCGAAGACGATATCAGCGTTGCTTCGCCAAATCTCAACGTAAGAATCAAGTCAAATTCTCCAAGCGCATAGAAAACATTCGCAATTTATCCACACGATGTTTCACGCGAGTTACGACAAATATATATATATATATATATATATATAGCTTCATAGGGATCAACTCTCTGCACGTATAGAGAAGTTTATAAAACGCTTAAAAACGAACACCAAACTGCTTAATATTTATTATTGCGGTATTCAAATTCTAAAAAGAATTCTGATTTAAGAGGCCAACAAATAGCTAGTTGTCCGTCACTATGAATGGAATTCCCGCAGTGTATGCCTATTCAAAACAGAAGTTTCACTATTACTGCGCAGTACGGAACTTGAAAAATATTTGCTTAACGAGCATCGGTTTTGTAGGTTGCAAGATCCATGTTCTTTTACCTGAAAACGAACCCAACTGAAGTATCTAGCCAACGTAGTAAAACGCAACGAGAAACAGAGAAAATCACCAGCAAGATGGAAGATTCGGAAGAGCGCTCCGACTCTCACACTGGTTTCTTGTCCAGCCATCTTCCTGGATATAGAACCCTCATAAGCAGGAACGTCAACTTCGGAGCTTGCAATGCAAGACGGTACAATGTAGGGGGAACTACAGCTAGGTAGAATGCATAAGGATCATAAGCAAAATTTTTTACTGCTACTGACAAGAACGCTCAACAATTTAATTGAAGCAGTTCGGCCGAGGATACAGACAGAAGAAGTCCCTTTACACTTAAACAAACTTAAAACCAGTAAGAACTAATATAGTGCCAGGAAACTGCGAACGTTTCCTTCTCTCTCATTCAACTGCCTGTTACCGCCAATGTATTAATACAGATCGATGTTTTAAGATTGCCAGAAGCCTGGACTGTACTATCCTTCACGTTGCCGACATTTGACGTTTCACTTTGCCCTGCCACTCGTATTACTGCTATGAGCACGCAAACGACGCTAGCTATTTTCTACAGCCATAAGCTCAGGGCGATGACTTTATTACTTACGGAAGACAATTTCATGGTAATCCATGGTGGCAGCAAAAGCTGATAGGAAGGTTGGTTTGGTGCTGTGTTTACCGCGAGCGGTGTGATTGTCGCAGATGATCTATGCCTTTGAAGAAGCATTCCACCTGGGACAAGTTTGAATAACCGAAGTTTTAAGAAATTTTGGAAGAACTTGGCTTGACTGTCCCCACCTGAAAATACAAATCTTTATACGCCCTAGAAAAATATTCTCCACAGGCATCTCTAACGTGGACGAGTGGCTGGATGCGGTGGAGCGCGAAAGTACGACACCTCCCTAAGCGCAAGCCGATCGACCAGTACTCATTCAGTAGCACGGCTAAGAGCTGCGACCAGGGAAGGTTCGCGTAAGTCAATAAGTACATGCTAAACTGAAATAATTTGAACTCAAACACTTTAATTTATTTCAAGATACATACGGTCGATTTAAATAGTGAACATGTCGATACGTTTTGTACAATAAACGCGCAATGAAAAGCACCAATCAGCATTTATAATATTTCTTTGAAATAAGAATCACCTAAGCATCTACCGTGGCTTACTGGCGTCATAAGATAATTGCTGCCCTCTGGTCTATGAACAAACTCCTAGAGACTGCTCCTGCAAAGTACGGCATAAATACCTTTGCCATATCCACGGGGTGGACCACGATCGTAGCACCTGTTGCGGCAATCGAGGCCGTTATCATATCGGAGACAACTGACGACGCCGTTACCACCTGGAACGATACGTTCGATTTGTTAATTTCAGCGATTTGCTTCATGTCTGGGCCAGTGCTTATTTGGTTGGCATCATCGGCACGGAAGCTATATCCAGTAGGTTAGCTTACCGTTCACTCATGTTTATCTCGCCTAGATTTTATTTATTTTAATATATGTTACAAGGGCTATAGATGTTTAAATGCAAGTTGTAGTTATATTGCGTTTTAACGAAAATGGAGAATCAGAACGAGATACTTTTGCTACGAAATCATCGTTGTCTGGAAGGCAAGGCAAGCTTCGCAAGCTGTAGTCAAGATACGCAGCTCGCACAAGTTCTAAGCAGTTACGTCATATACGAGTTGGGGATGCGATGCCCGCTTCAGAAGTGAAGGGTTGGAGCTCCACCACCAGTCAGTACATGTGATCTGTCACCACCAATCCGAATCCATGTCACAAGTATCAACCGAATGTAAGCAATTTTTCTCATGGAGCTCATGCTGATTCGTAACGGTAGTTAATAAATGTATAAAAATGCAGAAGTTACGTGGTCTGTGATAGTAAAGAGGTCCGGAAACCGTCAAACAAGCAACGTGTGTATTAGTTAATGATCAACAAATATTCTAACAAAAAAGAAGTGCAGTTATTGTGTTTAATTAATTGTAGGTCGTCTATCGAGATTTCGTGGCCTTAATAATTTCTTAAACTGTATAATGTAGAATAAATATACATATGATCATGCGTTACTATATTTAATTTCATTATCGATGGCTTGTTTAAGCTAATCTATATCAAACTAGACAAACGTTATGCCGTCTATCGCCCTCTTCGAAAAAGATTGAAGTCACGTAGACTGGGGCTAAAGCCGTCGCTTGATTCTAATTTCCCTATTGTAGGCTGTGACTGAAATATGACGAGGAGAAACCGAGCGTTATTGCCGAGTAAGCGCACTACGTGCTAGGTGCTACCACACATTTATTGAGTTCTTCAGAAATTCAAGATAAATGGCAGCATTGATCGGATGTGCTCTATGCTCACCAGGAGTATAAGCGCCACGGTGCGCCTAAATCAATTCAGCACCGTATTTGAAGTTGCTTTCTGTGTTTCAAAGCCATCTTCTCGCTTGATCCTGATACATTCTAATTCTTTGGTAGACAGTCCATATTGGTCTTGGGATCTGTGGTGGTGGAAGTTGTGCAAGCATAATATGTGTTTTAATTTATTCTGTTTCAGCTCACATTTTTTACTTCTTCATCTTCGATGTTTTTGTTACAGTTTCATCCTTTGCTTTGAGGAATCCTATACTAAGTCGACAGGGCACACATTGTTTAACTTCTATTTTGCGCAAGAGTTTCCATTATTACAACAGTCCGTTTTTAGGCTTGAAGTGTTAACATGTCCTCCATGCCCTTTGATCGCTCAGTGTCTATTTCTGAACTAATTGTCTAGAAACTGTTGCTTCTGTGAAAGCATTTTTGCTCGGCACTTTACATCGGCACTTCAATCTTCGAGGATTAGGAGTTTGTCAAGCTTTTTTTCGCTCAGTATTTTCACCAGTTTTCGGCGGAAGTTAGACTTGATTATTAAGCGTCAGTTTTCTGCACTAAGCAATACTCTTACCGCTGAACCTACTGTTGTCGTATAATAGTTAATCAACTTGTAGAATCAGGTAATCAAAAAATTTTTTGATCCGATAAATATCACGAACAAACCAATATTTGCATTCGTAGTGTTCGATATTTATCTAGTTTAAATGTCAGAAGTTTGAACAATTCATCTTACTCGCCCAACTTCGTCAGAGTTTTTCAATATGACCCTTGTGACCATAGCTTACCTACATCAGGAGGGACTAGGCGAATTCATTATATATTCATCGAAATTATTCGGATTAATCTGTTTGTAATCAGGAGTAACATCTTTAGACTTCTAGGAACTTCAATTAAAGATTAGGGTTGAAAATTGGTCGCTTGGAGCAGCTGAGAAAAAAGTCCATTAAGAAACCATTTTGTGTTGGCCGAGTCTTTTAAATAAGTGAATCTGCTTTTTTGTACTAGCATAACCGTAGATGCAATGCAGATTATTAAGATGGATGCTTGAATTCTTAACTTTTAAAAATAAATCGCAGCCAAGTAAAAAAACGTTTCCAAAGAAAGAATATCTTTCAACAGAAATAGTAAGAGTAATTTGAAGCATAGCCTCCGTATATTGAGTACGCCCTTATAAATCTATGCTGGATTTCTCTACTAGATTTAGCTTTCCTTAAAGAGAAAAACACTCGATCTATGGGATATGCCGCACACTCGGCAATTATTATGTACACAGTTTAAAAATGACACACTTCTAAAAAGCGGAGATTGGGCTATATGAAAAGCATCGACCAAAACGACTTAGAATTACCTCTGTGTCGTTGATAATAACTTTTAGGGCTAAAAACCCACGCTAGAAGGGGCCTAGAACGTTACAATGGAACTGTGATTAAACTCACGGGACTATAATGTCAGGTAAACTTAACCATCTCCACTAGAAGCTAGGGTATGTAGGTGCTCAATTAACTTTTTAAAACACTAAATGGACTGAATTTATACACAGATCGGTTTCACGGTCTTCTTTGTTAATGACTGTCATCGGATTTGCATGGTTGATTTGCATTTTGTGGGAAAAAAAAACAAAAAAACATCCCAAGCATCTTCGTAATATGGGCTTTTACCCGAAACGAGCTATGCCGTGAGTTTGGTACGCATAAAACATCGTGTTTTGACTAAGTTTCTTCCGCACTATGAATTAGTTGTTACCGTAAAAAGCAGAAACATTGGAAACAAGTCTCATTTAAGAGGCGGCACATAATGGATGAATAAAAGATGACTATCCATTGCTCAATATCGTCATACAGCCTCAAGACCACCTTTTTACAATAGAAAACTTTTGATGAGTTTTTTTATATATCAAACATGTTTTTTTTTATCTATTATTATAAAATTCTAACGAAAATCTGCAGTTGTCTTAGGTTTTTTTTAATATTTGAAGTGTGCATTCGAACTTACAATACTTACATACCTTGCTAACACTTCTGAGGTATAAGTTGTATTCTAGCAATGGTACAGTAGATATTTAAAAACTTCTTTGTGGTGGTGTAGTGGTAACGTTTTTACCTACTAAACACAAAAGCACGTGAGCTGGTCTCGGTTTAAAACCAGGCGTAAAAATACCTTTTTTTTCTGAAAATAGGCCATCTTAAGCGGTGCTTAAAAGTGGTATAGGGGGTAAGAAACAGAAACAACAAAGGACGATTCAGAGCAAATGCGTGTGTCTTGTGTACGTGTGAGAGAGAGAGACATCATGATGTTGCGCAGGCTTAGCGAGATGAGTAACGTTCATACGATGGTGACAATCAATGCAAAGCAAGCACACGAGGTGTTGTTGTCGATTGAGTCGTATGACATAAAGCATTGTGCCTGTCTTGTTCGATAAATCGTCTTAAATCAATTAAATTGCGTTATATAATGCCTTGGTATGTTTTGGGTCAAATCTCCTTTACTTAATTTTAGCATGACAAATATGCGAATATTTGTGAGAGATCTTGGTCCTCTTGTAACAAAACGTTTTAAATTGAAAGGAACTGGAAGGAACAGCGGAATATTTCTCCATATCGGTTACGCTCTGGTTAAAATCAGATTTGCTTATGCCGGAAGCAATGAGGTACTCCAAACCGAGGGCCTACAAAAGACCAAAGACCTATGAATACCTCATTGTTAGTCTACTTGGTTGCAGCAAGGTCGATATTTTCGTCTGGGAGAAGAATCGATACTGACATGGAAAGAGCGCAAATGCTGCTTGGTGAAACCGTTCCGCAGCTTACTGTGGCAAGCAACAATGTCAGCGGTAGAGCCTTCGATACAAAGTGCCACAGATACGGAAAGCTAGCTTCAGCAACACTGAGCACAGGTAGCAGTTTGATTACGGCTGTTGGCGTCGCTTCACTTTTCGTTACGCCGACCAAGAATGCACTGGACGCCGGGATTCTTCTAACCGATCCATGGAGCATGACTAAAGGCGGAAAGCGGCATTTAAAGGTCCCGCTGACTTCATTCTATATTCACGATAGAATGCCATCGGAATTGGTCTAAACGACTTCAAATGAATGCTAGTTCTCTGTTAAAGAAGCCATCGCACATATATTCCGATTTTAATGCATATTAAGAATGTAGCGAAAACGAGGCACTGATTCTCCGCAATTAACGAAACCCCACGGGCAAACGGCACCTCACCTATTTGAAAGATCGCTTAATCTACATCGAACACAGACATGGACGTTGTCTGGTTCCATCTATACGGTTCACTGCACATATCCGATCAATTTTACGAAAACCGAAAAGTCGTTTTTTTTTTCTCTAAATTGGGATGCGACGCACCGACACCTAATAAGGCGGGTTGGAGCCCTTTCAAGAATTCTACAATACTCATTAGAGAGTGCAATAACTAATTAAAAGCGTTGGCTTTTGAAATCGAAGTTTGGTGTTCGAAGCAATGAGCAAATCGGAGCGCTTGTAAGGACGAGAGAAAAGACTTGAATATAAGTCTTGAGTTTCGAGTGCGCCTAGGTTAAAGTGAGTTATTCCGTGCACCTATCGAATGTAGAGCAGGCCGCTAGGGCAGGTGGCCACCGTAAATACTGGAAACTGCCAAGATGCTAGCATAGCTAGCCGATATTGTGCGTTGCACATGTCGATATATCTTTAATACCTCGCTGTTACTCTAATATACAATATAATAATTACCTAGTTAATCAATTATAAATAAAAATGCTGTCTTCGATCGTGACAGAAAGTATTTTCCTTAATCAAGATGAAACGTTAGTTGCAGAATTCGTCCCCAAAGAATTAGAATACACTTTAAAAGTTTGTTTCACCCATATATGTACATTAGATGATCTCTTGTCTTGTAACTAATCAGCAACCACAAGACACGTCAAAGTTAATAGAAAACCTTTTTTAAATAAATATCGGATACAGATTGGATATATATTAAATTATATTATTATATAATATTGATTGGATTTTCAGCTCTGAGAATTTCATTGTCAGCAGCTGAAAATCACTGAAATTCGTAACTAATATATGAATAACCGGAAAGTAATGCACACAAACAGTACTCTATTTGATACACGCACAAAAATATTATTTAATTTGGTACATTATATGGCATTGAAAATATCTTTAAAAAAAAAGCTGTGCGCAGCTGTGAACATGTAAAATATATAGAAAAAAGATAAATGAATCCTATATCAACGACCAAGAAAGTAATCTCAAAGTACTCTTTTACCATTAAGTACCAGCTATTAATAAATTATATTTTATTTACTCCCGTACGATTGACTATCTATGTATGATATAAGCGGCATCAAGTTTATAGTATGCTATTTAAAATTGCGAAAGCATTTTTAGGCAAAATTCAGTCACCGAAAGCCATGCGTTGCATGCGTTGCATCAGGGTTTTCGCACAATTAAACCAGATTTCTCTTTATAGGCGTGTATTTCTCAGATATAAAGAAACTGACAAAGAAGCTGATCAATTACTTCTAAATATGTTTGATAAACATGCCTTAATGGAAACGAATGTGTAAAGAGTGCTACACATGCTATGTCAAAAGTATAGACTATAATGCTCATGACGAAACGTTTTGCTTACAGAACGATACTAAGAGTCGAGTGTACTATAAAGTATTAGAAAGAACTAAGGAAATAAAAGCCGTTGAACAGCACATGAGGCGTGGGAACGACAATGAAACACAAAAGTAATTACCAATTGCAACGAATTGCTCAAATAGTGATTTCTGCTTGTGCTACCCCTGGATGTGATGTTAACATTAGTGTTGAGCAAACAGTGAAGAAGTTCCGAAGAAAGTTCCTGCGATGTCAGCTTATGCGTTGGATCTAGCGCTAGTTGCGTGACAATAGGTTGACGTTATTTACACGCTTTGAGTCATACGTATCCTCCAGGCTTCGAAAGTTCTCGAAAGACTTTTAGGCTGGATTAGATAAAAGACAAGCAGTACATAGAAGCCTTATGCCAGCGTGAGGTTAAATCTGTATTAACGATTGGTACGGCATTTTGTGGGTTGGCACATAAAGCAATTTCTTTGTTTGTCAAAAAACTAAACTTGTGCCATAAGATTAGGCTATCTGTTACAATTTTTTTGTTCTTCAAATGTGTTTTACATATAAAAGCAACGTCTCCCTTTGGACTTGGAATATGTCCGTAAATAAAAGATGCTACGTTCACGTATAACATTTTACCAAGTACGATTTACAAATTCTATTTAGTTCGCATAGTTAGCAGCAGATTTAACAAAGAAACGAGGTCATTTCGAGGTTGGATACCTCTGTAAGTAGTGTCAGGCAACGGGTTCTGCGTACAATACGCCGAAATTTACATAGCCTTTACCTACGAACAATGCAGTACATTACCTGTTGTGTGGTATATTCACGTCCCTCTTCATCTCGTAGAATTATGACACGGCCTTGAACGCCCATCTTTGGATCCTTTAATCTATTTCGCTTGTGACTTGCTTTTATCAAATTTGTTTGTTTTCTTCTTACTTTTCTTAGGTTACATTTTCACAGTGAGCTTTAACATCGTGATTAGGATTTAGAATGTTTTCGCATTCACAAAACTTATATTGCACTATTTCAGACGATTTTTCACTGAGTACGTTTTCATTAATTACCGAAAAACTTATAGTGGAACACAATTAAAAATCCTTCTGGGGGTCATTCCTAGTTGCTAGGAAAAACTAATATTAGTACCCGACCTTGCTTAAATTCGACATTCTGGCATCCCATGTATTTACCGATTGCGTACCGACGGGACACGTTGTTACAACTTGAACGTTCGTGTTCTAAAGTTCCTAAAGGTCTTAAAAGATCTAGATGATTCTGTTCTTTTTTGCACAAAATCACTATAGTATTGGTCGCACGAAACCAATTATGTACAATGTTCAGAGCATTACTTAGAGCCTCACTCAGCTGATTCACGACTATTCAGAGGACACGATAGAGAGCAGACAGCTGAACGGTTTGGTAATCGTAGTGTTGTAGCCACGTTGGGAGAGCACCAGTGCGACCCTCGACCCTCTCCTAAAACAAGTAAACAGAACCGGGACACAACAGTACTTCGCAGTAGGATGAAAAAGTTTGTAACTAAATCGTACGCGTGAATGGCGTTTTAAGGAAGTCGATATCCGCGGGTAACTGGTTACATAAACTGAACGGATAATTTCAAACGTTATTTTTGCTAAGAAATTTGCTTAGTTAAATTAGCACAATGTCTTCGATACCTAGATTAACATGCAGGAATCTGTTTCCAGCAAAGTCCATTAGAGATAATGAATTATTATAACATTCTATCTGTGTTGTTTACAATGTGGTTGGGTCATTTAAGAACAATATCAAGCAATGGCAGAAACTACCGTACGAACATTTAACCAAAGCCGTACAGCAATTTAGATAATTGATTACTATTTCTTCACTTTGTACCATCTTTGCATTTCAGACTTCGATCGAAAACAAGCGATTGATGAAAAGGGCATCAGAAACATACCTTATTTAATTGGGAGTTTGATCTTAAGCGTAAAATTTTCTCATGCTCTTCCTTAGGTTAGTAAACTTCCAATGATTTGAATTTTTTAGTATTCGCCATTATGATATCTATCATATTTAGCAACTACCCTTTTTAAGCATATGTATCATCAAACTTTCGCTATGGAAAATCAGAAAAACCATCATGTGAAAATGTTTGTCTGTTTAATTTATTTTTTCTTCTTTTCTGTTTTCAAAAAAAAAAATCATGTATAACATATGTTCCACAGAATAGTGATGATAAGGATGATTCTTAGTAGATTTTAAAATCTTCCGTCCAGCGTATCCAAATTTCTTTGATTTCTAAAAAAAATATCTAAGATTATTGAGAAACAAAGATTTTGAATAAGTCTTATACGAATATTTATAGCTTTATCGATTTAGACATAAATAGTTAGCAGCGGTTCAAGTAATAAAAAAATTTCGCTTTACCAAAAAACACATTTTCAACATATCCTAATATAAATTGGTCAATATTTTGATGTTTTCTATGGCGTTTATAAACGGGCAAAGTGTTAAGATATTGCTCATTCATCCGGCTAAAATAAAGTTACCTCGTGCGTTTTACAGGTGAGTTTAGAACCAGTTTAGAACCCAAGTGATGTTTTCTATTGTATCACGTACTTTTAAGTCTGGATCAACACATGTTACTAACTTCTACCATTTTGATCTGTTATTTTGACATTACTAGGCATTTTCTACTACTCTGAAAAACAAAGCGCATCTGTATTTTCCTCTGAAACCATCCCCATTGGCCAGTTCAAATTAGCTAGCTAATTCAAATTAGGACATCACTTAAATCTGCTAAAACTGAAATAGCGATACATTTGTATGGAAAATACACAGGGCCAATAGATTTTTAATAAAAATTCATATATGTAAATTGTCTTTCTTTGACGAAATGTACGGGACTATGAAGCGGAACTTTTGGCTCATTTCGATTTTGTTGTGTGTGTGTGCTTTTAGGTAACGAAATAAATATGTTTTTTTAATCAAAAAGGTATCTGAAACATCCTTCTTTTAATCGGCCTTTTAAGCTTAAAGTAAAAAATAGTCATACTTTTTCTTTAAGGTTGTATTTATCTTTCCTCAATCTTAAGTGCGTTCATCATAGAATTTTCGCTACTACTGCATTCGATAGTCCTTGCAGTGCTTCAGCACACAGCGATGGTATTGAATATCAGAATATCAAAATAAGTAAGACAGGCACGGGAAGCTATATTTAGATAAAAAAAATATTCTACTTTATTTCCTGGCTGTCACTCGCGTGCCAAATAAGCATACCTGAAATACTTCGTAAATTTTAAAATATTCAAACATATCGAGCATTTCCAAACTTTCTGAAAAAAATTTGCTCGATTTTTTCTATAAATTTAAGAAGCTTTTAGAAAATCGTAATAACATTACTATTAAGTTGTAAGCTTTTCAAACTTTTTCAATTTTTTTATTTATTAAAATAAGTCACAGTTATACCGTAAGGTAAAAGAGAAGCGCGTGTCCATATGCTTACATTTTTTATCTCCGCTCAAATCATGCGACATTTATCCACTGTGAGACGTGGTTGCATCATATCCCTTAACACCCCGTTATCCACTCGCGCATAATATCATAGACGAAATTAATTTTCGAACTTAAAAATTCATGCTCGTGTGATTTTTAAATAGCAAATTCAGCATCGACTGTAGGGTTTATGCGGCAACCTGACTCCGCTACTGTAGTTTCAAGGTAAAACTCATTTCTGTCTTTGCTACGTTAAAAACGTTACCACTCCAAAAAAAGCGCGTGTGTACGCACTTAGTTGGATTCATGGAAACCAAAAGTGGCATACGATTAGTGATATCTATCGCATATCTCGTTACTACGCGGCAATTATTGCAAATTATTTCTTCCCTTGTGTCATTTCACTTTTCTCGATACCGAGAAAACCTACGTCGATATTCATATTTTTATACAATTCTAATCAAAGAATGTCCATAAATACAGCTACAGAAAAACCAGCATAATTACTAACAAAAAAATTTTATTATGAATGCCTAATGCATTATAACCATCGCGAACTACGACCTTTATTTTTTAAAACTATGCAATTCATCCATACACGTCTGAATCCTCATTATTCAATACTACGAACAAATTAGAGAAGGTATTCCAAATTTTCAAATTCTCTTCCCCCGCTTTACGTGTTTTGTTCTTTTTTGACATGAAACCTATAACACACCCCACGCACATTTCTACGCCTGCAACATAGACTCCGTTACGAAGTGAGGTATCTGGTAAATCGTTATTTTTTTAGGGTAAGTTAGCATCCAGCTGGTTAGTGCCGTACTGTACTTTCTTTTAAATGATGAAAATACTGAAACTTCGAACGCTTAGAGCTTAATGTAGTGGAATAGTCAACAGCTTATTTTGTTCTCATTACAGAAATAATGCTTACGTGGCTTTCGTGAACTGATTGTTCAGTATCAACAGTTGATTTTTTCAAAGGTGTTTCACAAAGGGCTGTAAAAAATCGACGAAGCCTTCAATAATCATCCAGTTGAGGCATTGTATTGCCAACGCTTCCAACAGAACGCAATCATTCCCGGCCGAGTTATTGCTTGTCCAATACTCTAGTACGTCCTTGTTTCAATTGTTGTCTTCGTCGCAATTTAACTTGCTACACGTGATTAAGTATTCCACTGGGCATTTTTCCTCTACGCGCATGAAAACCATTATCCCTACATATTGTTTTTACTGTTTTTCCTAGTTTTTACCGTACCATCTTAAAATATCCTATCAATACTCTGTACCAAAACAGAGGCCTTGGTGACGAACATCAATTTATACTATCCAGTACTAGTTGTGGAGACTCCATATTATCCTTAGCTTTGGCCCTTTACTTGTCGTTTACTGTTTTAGATTGTGAGCCGTTGAAAAGCGCTGGAACGCTAGCATTAAACGCCCGCTTACAGATGCCCCAACAACTCACTTGTGTTTCTAGACATCCTGGCGCTATCTTTTAAACATGATTCAATTTTAAAAAATACATGAACTAGATGAATTAAATAGACACACCGCTGTAAAGTAGAAGAACACTCGGTTTGATTAATATTGACTATACACCAAAATCACGATATTACTGAATCATAAATAAATAATAATTAACAAAAATTATTTGCGACGAATACAAAAAACACACATTTGCGTACACTTGAACATCAGTAAGTTACACTCGATCTTACTTTGTAACCGTATAGAGTTCTCGGCAAGCATCCTACAGCTTAATGCTCATTCACCCAGTACCAAGTATGATAGAGATATTCGCAGTTTCTCAACCCAAATCTGTCTCACCTTTGTTCACTGTCTCCGTATTATTTTTGCGTGACTAAGCAACGTATTGTCTGTTCAAGTTTTGACCACACAATAGTCATATTTGGACGCTACGATTTGGTGCAGGAACCTTATAGGGGCGCATTATGTCACAGTTCGTATATTAGGCTTGCAACGAACGGATGACTCCGAGAAGAAGAAATGGTTTTAGAAAGACAGTGAGGAGCAATCGATCTGGGTGACAGAGGTAAAGAAGAAAAATAGCTAAAGGGAAAAAACATCTCTACTTTAAAATAGTTTAGAATGGTGTCATTAAAAGGCATACGAAGATAGTTACAGATCTGGTAATAATTATCATTAATAATAATGACGATTGTAGTAACTGAGAATACTGTCGAGATTATTAGGTATATTATGCTTTCAAAGTTTAAGCAATAAAAGAGTACTCAGATGTCATAAAATGAAAAAAAAAATTACTTTCTCTATTTGCTTGAAGGTTATGAGACGGAGCTTGATTTTATGCTGAGTATTTTATATATCTATGTACACGTCTGAAGTATTTTTACTCAAGCAGAAACAAGTCAACTAAAATGATCTGGGTGTTTTAAGCATAGCGCAGATACCTGCTTTCCAAAGACTGAGAGAGAAGAGTCTTAGGCGTATTGTATGTTGGTGTCAATGCGCAATTAAAGTTATATTGACAAAAGAGTCATGGGGTGTCAGTTTTTAGAGGTGCAGCGTTCGTTTTCCCGTTGCCCAGATCTAGCCATTCAAAAGCTTCGTATGATCTATATGCGACACCGTAATAATGAATGAGACATAATTAGGATACCTAAGCAGAACTTTCCAAAGATTTTATTGAGGTTCATGCATTTGGCCGGCGCCGTTGCTGCTCTCAATGTTGGAAACAAACATCCCCGTTTCTTAATGTGGAAAAAGGCAGAGACAATCGCCAGATGCTAGGGATATTAATGGTCTGTGAAACATATCATATATAATGTGCAGGCGATTCCGGGATATGCTGAAAGGATGATTCTCTGGCGCACAGAATGTGCGGCTATTCTTTTCCAGGGCATTTAGTCTCGCTTTGTGCCATTTTTATGAATGCTGGTACTAGAGTGCTGATTCCTATTTTCTAACACT